CGCCCCTCGCTGTTTGTCGGCCACCCGCCCAGCGGCGGCGGCTTCCCCCCGTCCCCCCTGGCTCTTCTCCCCCACCCCGCCTTCGTAGCGAGGCCTCGGCGGCGGCAGCCTCGCCGCTCGCCTTCCAAGCGGCGTTGGCGTTCGTAGAGCGTTCCGTGCGCATGCACATGGAACGCTCTTGCACTTTCGGGGGGATTTAAACATCCCCCCGAAAGTTTTTTCAAGTTTTAGGATTTTTGTGCACCCCTGGGGACTGCCCCAAGAGTGCACAAAAATCTCCCTGCCCCCCAGGTCGCCCCTGCGCGCAGATTTAGCGATCCGCACTCACGGGGCGACTTGGCTATTAGTATAAGGATATGGAGCAGAGGTCCATCCGTGGCTATTAGCCACAAGGTATAGATAGAGGCTCTGGGGCAAGTGATGCTCTGTGTTCTTGGTGCTTGGGGGGGTCAACAGTGGGAGGACTTCTTGTGTCCTGGCCCCACTGGTGGACCTCCTGAGGGCACCTGGTCTTTCTGGCCACTGTGTGACACAGAGTGTTGGACTGGATGGACGCTTGGCCTGATCCAACATGGGCATCACTTATGTTCTTATGAAGTCCAGTTGTAGGGCCTTCCCACCTCCTGATCTCCCCTCAATATGTGGATCAGGCTTGGGGGGGGGGTCTTGGCATCCGTCGGAGGGGAGCGGGGTGGCTTCTGGCAGAGTCAGGGACTCAACGCCCAGGGATGGATGTGGCTAGTCTTGGGAGGAAACATGGTCAGGAGGGGAGGGGGGCAATGCTCCCTCTAAGCTGTGGAGTCTCGTGAGCAAAAATTCTACTTTGTGAGCCACTGGCACTCAAGTTGTGAGTGAGCCATTTGGCTCCTGCATAAATTAGCTTGCTCTGGAGCCCATTCCTCCTGAGCTAAGATAAAAATGTGTGAGCTGGAGGCTAAAAAACTGTGAGCTGACTCACACTCACTCAGCTTAGAGGGAACACCAGCTAAGGGGGGGAGGGATGGTAGGTTTCTAAAATTAGGCACGAGTTGACAAAGGCTGCGATCTCAAGCACACTTTACCTTCTTACTGAAGCGGTACCTATTTATCTACTTGCAATTTCTTGCTTTTGAACTGCTAGGTTGGCAGGAGCTGGGGCCAGAAATGAGCTCACCCCGTCACGCAACACTCCGGTCTCGAACAGCCGAACTACTGACCTTGCAGTCTGCAGTTCAACATCTAACCACTTGAGCCCCGGCAGCTCGCAACCTATAGATAAAGCAGTGTCATGTCAATGTCCTACGGCTGGGAGTGGGTTTTTGTGTTGGGTGTGGCATTTTCCATGCAACATTCTGCCCCAGCTGGAGATTCTGACTTCAAGGGTGGGCCCATGTAGAGTGCATGACGGTAGCCTGGCTGCCTGGTTACTGTGGCTTTGACTTCCGTTCCATGTATTGATTCTGTTCTGAGCATTCGTGCCTCTTAATATTCCCTCTGTTCCGAGGAGAATCGGGTGTTGTGCTTCAGTAAAGGCATACTTAGTTAAATGATTGAATCTGAGTTTGCTGCTGGTTCAGCATGGCCCATTGGGAGTAAGAAGAAGAGATTGGATTTATTTTATTTATTTATTTAGGATTTATATCCTGCCCTTCCAAACGGCTCAGGGCGGCTAACATACAGCTAGTGCCAGGCAGGGCTGGCTCACTCGCTAGGCAAACTAGGTGATCGCCTAGGGCGCGGCCCTCAGCGGTGCCCCACCCCCCACCCCGAGCGCCAAAGAGCTGCTGCTTCCCTGCACGCCACGGCTGGACTGCAAGCACGCCTCACCCTCGCTTGCTGCACGGGGAGCCCCACTGCTGGGGCCCGGAGAGAGCACCTGCTGCCCTGGACCTTGCCCGCAGGAAAAGGAGGGAGGAGGGGCAGGCAGGCAGGCAGGAGCTCTCACCGCCGCAGTCCCTGAGTACGGGGGGGGGAGGAGCGGGGCTCTGGCGGCTTTTCGGTGGCGACTTGACTCCCCCTCTCTCACTCTCTCCCGCGCACTTCCTTCCGCTTTCCCAGGCCACCTTCTCTCTCCACCCCCCCATCCAAGCGCACTGCCGTGGGAGGAGATGGCGGGGCGTCGGCCAAGCCCCTGCCCAGTTCCAGGCATGCCAGCCACAGCAGCCAGCCAGCCTGAGGAGACCGAGGCGGGCCATGCCAGAGCCGCGACTGCATTGCATTGTTCCCGGGGTGGCGCTCCTCCAGCACACAGCAGCCACCGCCTCAGGGCTTTGCACGCCTCCACGTTTGCAGCCCCCGCCCGCCCTGGGAACTTTCAGCTTGCAAGCCAGGGCACCTTTTGCTGGAGATCCTGACCTGGGGAGGGGAGAGGTCTGACTTCCAGGCACCGATCCGGAGGGGGGGGAGCAGCATGCACCGAACCTTTTACCACATCGTCTGCCTGTTATTGCTGGTGACTTGGACGGGGTGTGTGTGTCAGCAGCAGCGCTTAAAGGCACTCTGCACCCTTGCTGTGTGCGGCCACTCACGCGGAGAGAGCAGAGGTAATGCAACCAGCCCTCTCCTTGTCCGTCCGTTCCGCCCCACCCCAAGCAGGTGTGGGAAATAGTCTCGCCGCGCTCCCTCCTCTCCGCCAACCGGTGCAAAGGGAACCAGCTCTGCGTCCCAGGGGGAGGCCCGACAACCCCGCCCGGCCGGGGAAGGCGCCCGTGAAGGAAGTCGGCCTGCCTGCGGGGATGGGGGGAGCATGGCCCGGTGCTTCTCCGCTTCTTCAGGCTGCCACGGGGGGGTAGGGAGCATGCACGGAGGCAAACAGCTGGGCTGGGGGGGCGGCGTGCACTCCTGCCTGCCTCCCAGCCCCTCCTCCCTCCTTCTGCGGGCCAGGCCCAGGGCAGCAGGCTGTCTCTCCGGGGCCCAGCATGTGGCGTCCCTCTGTCTCTCCCCCCCCAGGCGGCCAGCTGGGAGGTCTCCAGGCCCCACCGGGAGGTTGGCATCTGAGGGGGTGCCACGAGGGGGCCTCCCCTAGGGTGCACAAACCCCTCGGGCTGGCCCTGGTGCCAGGTTAAATACATAAAATACAATAAAACACCACTGAACAACCACAATAAAATCCCTTAAACAATATTTAAGGTACTCTGATGTTCCTACATATAAATCCCCAAGATGGGAACCAATAATCCAAGACAAGAGCGCCACTCTGATTGTATCTCTTTCCAAACTCTAAGCATTCAAATGGTTTCTCCCGTGTGGGTTCTTCGATGCTGATGAAGATGGTTACTCTGACTGAATCTCTTTCCACACTCTGAGCATTCATATGGTTTCTCCCCTGTGTGGGTTCTTTGGTGCTGTTGAAGTTGGTTATTCTGACTGAATCTCTTACCACACTCTGAGCATTCAAAAGGTTTCTCCCCTGTGTGGGTTCTTTTGTGAAGTTGAAGATTGCCATTGTGTCTGAATCTCTTTCCACACTCTGAACATTCGAAAGATTTCTCCCCTGTGTGGGTTCTTTGGTGCACTTGAAGAGTGCAAGTCTGACTGAATCTCTTTCCACACTCTGAGCATTCATAAGGTTTCTCCCCTGTGTGGGTTCTTTGGTGCTGTTGAAGATGGTTATTCTGACTGAATCTCTTTCCACACTCTGAGCATTCAAATGGTTTCTTCCCTTTGTGGATTCTTTGGTGCTTCTGAAGATGGCCACTCTTAATACATCTCTTTTCGCCTCTCTGTATTCTTTGGTGCACAAGGACCTGTGATCTCTTTCTAAAATACTTTCCACGAATAGTGGATTTACTTGCCTTCATTATCCTGTACTTTCGAAAATGTACATTACTCTTTCTTTCATCTCTCTTCTCAGTCATCTGGCCACCTTTGTTTCTCTTAGGTCTGCCTCGTTTCCCGATGTTTTCTTTCAGGTCTTCCTTTTTAAGTCTGTCTGGCATTTGCGGATGAAGTTCCTCACCCTCCTCATCCCTCTGATTATTCTCTGCTGGAATAAGGAGAGAGATCCTGTTAGCACCTGGGAGGGCTTCTAAGGTCCAAAGGCATCTATCTGACTGGAGTAGAAAAGGATTGACAACCCATTAGCCTCATCCACCTTTTCCCTGACTACCTAGGATTTAAGGATATCTCAGCTTCTCAAGAGCCAAAGCTGAGTTCTTGTCCAAAAGGAGTTTCTGAGACTCCAGATTTCAGGCCCCCAGAAGGCCATATGATTGTACCAAACCAAATGTTGTTCAGAAGTCAATAAAAAAACCCCTGGCTGTTCCCTTGACATAACCGTTGCAAATTACACCTGAATTACAAGATGATTGCCAGGAGAGGGAGCTATTGGATAAGAAACCAGTGAGCTTGCAGACTCTAACTCAGGAATCAAATGTGTATAGGAAACACCTGCGGAATGATAGAATAAGACTGAAGAGGAAAAAAGAAGCAAAAAAAGGTCATATATATTTATATCTATATCTATATCTATATCTATATCTATATCTATATCTATATCTATATAGATAGAATAGATAGATAGATAGATAGATAGATAGATAGATAGATAGATAGATAGATAGATAGATAGATAGATAGATAGAGACAATGAATATCATAGATATAGTATTGCAGGTCAATTACAAAAAATATGTAGAGAGAAATCTTTGATCAGAATTCTCTTTCCAGGGTAGATAGGAACTTTATGGTTTGTCTGCGCTCTCTCTTAAGAAGTGAACAGAACTGAAAATGTGAAAGAGGGAGTAAGTGATGGCTTTTTTTTGTCTCTTACCTGGGCTGTTATCATCTTAGCAGTATTATGAGGAGGGTATATTGATATTAATGTATGAATAGTAAAATTAAATTGGAGGTGGTGTGAAAACAGTCAGAATAGATTTGTGGGAGTGCACTGGGTAAACGGACAAGATTCTCATGGAGCTGGGGGAGCTTCCGGTACGGCGCAGTGAGGGAGGGTATATTGATATTAATGTATGAATAGTAAAATTAAATTGGAGGTGGTGTGAAAACAGTCAGAATAGATTTGTGGGAGTGCACTGGGTAAACGGACAAGATTCTCATGGAGCTGGGGGAGCTTCCGGTACGGCGCAGTGAGTGAGCAGGCATTCTTGGGAACTCCCGAATTGCCTGCTCCCCTCTTTGCTCCTTTGATGCTTTCCCGGCTCACCGGGGGGCATCACCCAACATAAGAACATAAGAACATAAGAACATAAGAGACGCCAATGTTGGATCAGGCCAAAGGCCCATCCAGTCCAACACTCTGTGTCACACAGTGGCCAGAAATACCAGTGCCATCAGGAGGTCCAGCAGTGGGGCCAGGACATTAGAAGCCCTCCCACTGTTGACCCCCCCCAAGCACCAAGAAGACAGAGCATCACTTGCCCCAGAGCCCCTAGCTATACCTTGTGGCTAATAGCCACTGATGGACCTCTGCTCCATATGCTTATCTAATTCCCTTTTGAAGCCATCCATGCTTGTAGCACCCACCACTTCCTGTGGCAGTGAATTCCAAGTGTTAATCACTCTTTGGGTGAAGAAGGACGTCCT